AAAAAAAAAAAGCAAGATGCAACTAAATGCTACTTCATATATAAAGACAGATAGATTGAAAGTAAATGGATGACAAAAGATATAAAATGCAAACACTAACCTTTAGAAAGCTAGTGTGGTTATATTCATATCAGATGAAGAAGACTTCAAGACAGGGAGTGTTAAAGAGATGAAAAAAGTGTCATTTCATGATGCTGAAAGGATCAAGAAAATATAACAACCTCAAGTCTGTACACTCTTAATAATAGAGCCTCAAATATATTAATAGAAAGATAGAAATAATAGAACTGAAGGGAAAAATAGATGAAACCATAACCATAGTTGGAAATTTTAACAGCCCTCTTTTAGTAATTGATAGAATACCTATAGCATAGACAAAAAGTCATCATGAATATGGAAGATTTAGCTGAGCATGAGTGCACACCCATAGTCCCAGCTACTTAGGAGGCTGAGGAGGGAGGATCCCTTGAGCCCAGGAGTTCAAATTCAGCCTGGGAAACATAACAATTACCTGTCTCAAAAAAAAAAAAAAAAAGAATACAGACAATTTGCACAAAACTATCAACTAAGGCTGGGCGCAGTGGATCATGCCTGAAATCCCAGCACTTTGGGAGGCAGAGGCAGGAGGATTGCCTGAGCCCAGGGGTGCGAGGCTGCATCTCTACAATAAATAATAAAATTAGCTGGGCATGGTGGTGTGCCTGTAGTTCCAGCTACTTGGAAGGCTGAGGTGGAAGGACTGCCTGAACCCTGCAGGCTGTGGCTGCAGTAGCTGTGAGCATGCCACTGCACTCCAGCATGAGTAACAAAGTGAGACTCCAACTGAAAGAGACAAAAAACAAAAACTATCAACTAATTTGATATAATATATATTTTTAGTTCACTACACCCAACAACTGCAGAACACACATATTTTTTCAAGCGTACATGGACCATTCACTAAGATAGACTAAATTCTGGGCCATAAGATAAGTCCTAATACATTTCAAAACAGTGAAAAAGCAAAGAATACATTATGTAACAAAATGGATATAATTTAGAAATTGTTAATAAGATATTTAAAAGCTACAATTATTGGAAATTGAACAATGGAAATTATTTCTGAACTGAAAGATAAGGGAAAAATAGATAAAAAATTATGATACAGCTATATAATGTTTACAGGGAAATGTGCAGCTTTAGATACAAGATAAACCAAAAAAAGTCTAAATCTTTGGTCTAAGCTTCCACTTTCAAATACTAGAAAAAAGAAAAGCAAAGTATATCTAAAGTAAGTAGAAAGTAGAAAATAAGGAAATAGGAAACAACCAACAGAGAAAATCAACAAGGCCAAAGGCTGGTTCTTTGAAATAGAAAAACTGAATAGTCCTATATCTGTTACAAATTGTATTTATAATTTAAATCTTTTCCACAGGGGGAAAAACTCTAGGTATGTATTACTTCACTGGTGAATTATCTTAAACATTTAATGAAAACCTGTAATGAAACAAAATTTAGCAAACCCAAGGTTGGTTCAACATTCAAAAATCAGTGTAGTTCACCATAAAATGAAGAAGGAGCCTGTAATCATCTCAATTAATGCATAAAATGTACCTAACAAAGTTCACCATCTACTTATGATTTTTTTTAAAAAGTGAAATAAGCTAGGAAGGTATCTTCTTCCCTATGACTTAATACATCTAAGAAAAACCTACACCAAAAATTCAATATAATATTGAAATATTAAATATTTTCCTCTAAAGATTGGAAATATTGGGCATTAGCTAAACATTTACTTCCTAGTTATCTCTTGAATCTGTTCATGTATCTCTCATCTCCACTGCCAGTATCCTGGTCTAAGCTGCCATAATTCCTTTTTTGGATTAGAGTAGTAACTTTCTAACTGGTTACCATAAGACTACTCTAAATCTTGCCAATTATCCATTCTTCAAGTAGTAGCCAGAGTGATCTTTTCAAAACACAAATCCAGCCAGGTGTGGTGGTGCATTGCCTGCAGTCCTACCTACTTGGGAGGCTGAAGCAGGAGAATTGCCTGAGCCCAGGAATTCAAGGCCAGCCCTGACAACATAGCGAGACCCTGTCTCTAAAACAACAACAACAAAACCCGACAAAATACAAATCCATTCATGTCACCCTTCTGCTTAATCACATTTGATGGCTTCTTGTTGCCCTTAGAATAAATGCCAAACTCTTTAACCTGGTCTGTGAGCTCCCAGATGCATCTCCAGCCTTATTGCATACGACTTTCTTCATGCTCCATATTCCAGTCACACTGGCCTTCTATCAGTTCTCCAAACATCACACATTCTCCCTTACCACTGTTAACAAGATGAAAGGAAAATCTACAGAATGGGAAAAAAATATTTGCACATCACATATCTGACAAAGGACTTGTATTCAGAATATATAAAGAACTCTCGAAACACAACAATAAGAAAACAGTGAACTTTTTAAAATGAGCAAAATAGTTGAAAACTTTACCAAAGAAAGATATATGGCTGGTTGGTATGCACATGAAAAGACTCTCCGTATCATTAGTCACTGTGCATATTGAAATGCATATTGAAACCACAGTGAGATACCAAATGCTGGCGAGGACAAGGAA